TCTTAACTCTAGGTTTGGAGTATGAGAAGATTTTTGATGTTCGTAATTTATCTGCTGATCTGTGTTTTTGGAATCAGAGTCACGGGCCTGATGTCTTAACTACTGCGCAGTGCAAATATCACCACTTGTTAAAAGTCTATTTCCAAATACTATTTTAGACGACAGGTTTTTAGATGTTGCTAGCCTAAGGTTTTCCTCGAGTATTTTCTTATCGAGTCTGTTCGACATACATAAATCTTGGTATATAAAAATTTTTGTTCCCTTCAATTTTGGCCCAACTTTTATAACCTGTGTCGGCGTTTTTTAAAAGATTCTTCTTCTTGACGTGCCATCTCCATCAGTGGAGGTTGGATATCACAGTGGCAAATCTCTCACTGTCTTCAGCAGATCTTATGAGCTCTTCGAAGTCCATGCCAGTCCACTGACGTATATTCCTCAGCCATGACAGTTTCTTCCGACCCAGCCCCCGCTTGCCTTCGATCTTTCCCTTGACTATGAGTTGTGCGTATCGGTATTTGTCGTTTCTCAGGATGTGACCCAGGTATGCAGTCTTACGGACTTTCACAAGCTTGAATAGTTCTCGTTCAGTTCCCAGCCTGCGCAAAACTTCTTCGTTCGTGGTATGCGATGTCCATGGTATTTTAAGTATTCTGCGATATGTCCACATCTCGAAAGCTTCTAGTTTATTAATGGTTTGTGTTTTTAGTGTCCATGTTTCGACTCCGTACAAGAGAGTAGACCACACATAACATTTTGAGAGTCTTAAACGCAGCTCGAGGTTGATTCGTGAGTCGCATAGGAGCTTTCTGAGTCGTACAAAAGAGTTTCTGGATTGTTCTATTCTCGATCTTATTTCTGTGTCTGGATCTAATTTGTTATCTATCAAGCATCCCAAGTATTGAAACCTGCCCACTTCTTCTAGTATCTTTCCATTTATTTGTATTGGTTGTGGGACATTCTTTGATTTTTTAATTACCATTACCTTAGTTTTCTTAACGTTTATTTTCATATCGAACTCTTCGCAGGTATTGCTAACGCGGTCGAGGAGTCGCTGCAAACCCACATCCGAGTCGGCGATTAGAATAGTATCATCAGCGTATCTAATGCTGTTTATGTTCACGCCATTAACCTTGACTCCCTCTGAGATGTCTGCCAGGGCTCTGTCAAATATAAATTCTGAATAAAGGTTAAACAGCAAAGGGGACAAGACGCAGCCCTGTCTAACTCCCCTGCCAATCCCGATTTGCTCGGACTTGGATCCCTCTATTCTGATTCTAGCGCTCTAGTTCCAATATAGGTTCTGTATTAGAGTAATTGGTCATCTCCAATGTTCGCTTCGCATTTACTAGAGATGCGGTTATGAATTATTTTCAGTAGGACTTTTAACGCATGACTCATTAAACTAATTAGGCGAAAGTCTCCGCAGTCTTTGGGGTTTGTTTTCTTTGGCGATGGTACGAAAATTGATTCTAACCATTCTTGAGGTATTTTGCCAGTTTCATAAATGCGGTTATAGAGAGCGACAAGCAGGTCGATGTTTTCTTCGCTTATTAACTTTAAGATTTCGGGTAATATTTCGTCTGGCCCTGGGCTCTTGTTTGCCTTGAGTTGTCTTATCGCGTACTCTACTTCGGTTTTTAGAATACTTGGTTCTTCCGCGTTCATGTCCGTCTGGTAGGGCTCTGCTCTGGCGCCTTCGAACAGATTCTTGATGTATTTTTCCCATTCTTGTAGTTTTCCCTCTGTGGAGTCTAATAATTTTCCATCCGAGCTTAATATGTTGTGGACTGCAGTTTTTCTGCTCGTCGCTGTAAAATCTTTCACTTTCTTTTGTAGGTTGAAATGGTAATGGCGTCTTCGCAATTCCTTTATTTCCGAGCATCTGTCTTCTATCCAATGTTCCTTAGCACTTTTTATTTTGGTGCGGATTATTCTGTTAAGATGTCTGTACTTATTTGTCATTAACGGCTTTACATTCCCTCCGTGAGTCCATCAGATTTAAGATTTCCCCTGTCATCCACTATCTCCTATTTCTTTTAGGAGTTGGTTTCAGATTTGCTTCAACGGCCCCATTTAAGATGTCTTTTATAGCTTTCCACGTGCTATCCACATCAGTGGTAAGGGCAAGGTCCCGAGAGACATTTGCGAGGTGCTCGTTTAGTTCTTGACTTACTTTTTGTTTTATTGTGACGTCCCTCAGAAGTCCCACATCTGGTTTTCCTGGAGGTTTTGGCCTTTCAATGATTTTCCATTTTGGTCTCACTCTGGCTATAACAGGGCTGTGATCTGAGCCAATGTCGGCTCCCGGATAGGTTTTGACGTTAGTAACTGAGTTGTGGAATCTTTTGTTTATAATAATAAAATCGATCTGGTTTCGGACTGTCCTGGTATTCGTATGTTGTGGTGACGTCCATGTGTAAAGTCTGCGAGGGTGATGTTTGAACCAGGTATTTGTTACAGCCATGTTGTGTTGTTGGCAAAATTCAATGAGCCTTTCGCCCCTGTCATTTCTGTCGCCCAACCCAAACTTGCCAACCAAATCCGACACTCGCCCTTGGCCTATCTTCGAATTAAAATCTCTGATGATGACTGTAAGATCTTGTTTCTTAGTAACTTTTATTAACTCCTCCAATTCTGTGTACCACGCCTCAAGCTCATCTGTGGACTTATCGACTGTGGGAGCATACGTCTGTATTATATTTATGTTCATTGATTTTCCCGAAAGCTGAATTAGCAGGTTTCTGCCAGAGACCGGGAGAAAGTTAGTAACCGCCTGACTGTATTCTTTCTCCAAAATTACTCCTACTCCATTGTGGTGTTTGGAGTCATTGTTACCGGTTATTCCTGAGCCTGGCCATGTAACCTCGCTCAAGCCGAATATTTGGATGCCCAGTCTGTCCATTTCGTGACATGCATTTGCAAATTTTCTGTAAGGTTTTCAGCGTAGCCAACCCGGGGATTCTTCGCACCCCTTGGACATTTAAGTCCTGTCGGGGACTAGGGGACATTAAATTTTGTTGTATTGCCATTGTGATTTTCTTGGGAAAGAAACACCAGAGTGGTTTCCCGTTGCCTTCTCTGGTTTTATATCAGCCGCTCCTAACATGGAGAACAGACGCTGTCTGCAGCCGCCCACTCTGGGTCAGACGCTGCGGTTTCACCATATCCGGCTACCCTCACTTGGTTTAGCCTGTGGGTCAACACAGTGTACCGGGGTGTGGCGCTTGGAGCCAACAAGTGAGAGTTGGGTGTCTCGTGAGGGCCAGTTATCTGAAGCTTCCGCCCTTCTAGGAAGCTTGGAGTGACCGCCCCAAACAAAAGGTACTACCTCTCCGACACACCCCTACACCCCTTTTAAAAGATAAACATCATTTATGTCATTTTCCAGAATATCAAGGTTCAAGGATTCATTAAATAGCTTTAATATATTTTGAAAGGGATTTATATCTTCAGAATATTCCAGCCCGAAAATTATTATATTGTTTTTCCTACATCTTCTTTCAATATTGGTCAGTTTGGATTCTTTATTCCGTTATTCTTTTATTTTCATCTTCAATTTTGATAAGAAGTTCCTGGTTTTCCATGATTATTTTTTCAGATATAGTTGTCGTAATGCTAGTCTTAGTTTTTAAAGCGGAGTTCTTAGTCTCTTGTAAAAGTTTGACGAAAAGTTTTCGATTAGATAAAACACTTTCAAAGTTGTCGACCATTGGTGCAAACTACGCTTTCTATATCCACTGACTTCTAATAATTAGCAGACAATAAAGCAAAAGTCAAACTCAATATGAGTATAAATTTTCATTCACTTGCACCACTCTAGCCACATATTAAATCGTACTATTCTGGGACGAAAATATGAACACGTATTGTCGAGATCTTTGTTATGAAATTATGACGCTTATATGGATTTTTTTTTTTGGACAATGTCATCATTACCAATAAAGTGGGTTTAAGTAAATTAAGTTTTGTCAAAAACTAAACAAGATTCGTCCTCGCTACGCTTTTGTAGAGGTTTTTATATTGTACAAATTTTGTGCTAAATCAGAATCTTTCTTCTGGTGGCACAATAGCCAAGACAAGACAAGACTGTTGCTCAATTAGGTTACCATAAAATTTGTGGAAATATTTGCCATTGAAAGTCCAATTGCTCAATATAATCTTACATATGGAAACAGTGCATGAGGTTTGTGTTTCGCGTGGGCCAACAGATCTTACTGTACTAGGACGCGCTCTAATCTCCGATATAACCATCTTCTCTGGTATATCATCGTTTGCAATATGCTCGCAGGATTGTTGCCACGAAAGTAATTCTTTTTTGTCTCTGATCTACAATGACGTTAGAATTGAGTGTCAGTTTGGACGGACGGAATTAATTTAAATAAATGAAAACGGCGACATGCCGTCACTGATACAAGTTAATCCTAACAAACATACGCGAACTATAAAAATGACAATTTTATATTCGCATTTTTAATTAAAAGTTTGTTTGCCAAACGTGACGTTTGGAGAATCAACGCCTGACACGGGATTACAAAAAAAAACGAACGAGCGTTCGCGATATGCAGCCATGTTTAAATATTGTCGCTGCACCCCGTACGCTCTTAATCCCAGTTTAGTGTGACGTCACATGATATATATTCTCCCATTGGTTAGAAAACACTGTGATCTCCGGTTGTGACAACAGTCCTGCTGGTTTGGATAAGGTTATGAAAAAAATAGGCCCTTTTTGCAGTTTGGACAAAATATGCATTCGGCATCATGGTCGGATCTACATTCACTTATTGAATTACCTGATGTCATTTCAATAACACCCTACGTATTTTTTTATTTTCAAACAAATTTTAGTTACTTTTGTTCATGTTGTTTATTTAAGATTCAAAATGTTGACCCAAAATGTATTTTTACCCTCGGTGGTCACTACTCATTTGACTTTTCGTATTACTTTAATTATCTTACTTTTTTTAGAAATTTATTAATATTTTTTGATCAATTTGTTCCAGACGGAAGTGACATGGAAGAACCAGACGGTATCGGTGTGCGTTAAAAACGACGCCAAATGGGTTACTGACTACGTCACCATTGATGTTTACTATATAACCTATTTCATGTTCCGGACAATTTTCGTGCACGTGTTGCCCTGCGTGGCCCTAGTAACGTTGAACCTGTTCCTGTTCAGTGCGCTGAAGAAAGCGCAGAAACGCAGGGACATCTTGCTGTCGTCGAAAAAAAACCAGAGGAACGAGTGCAAAAAGCTGCGCGACTCGAACTGCACCACGCTCATGCTCATCGTCGTCGTCAGCGTGTTTCTGATAGTTGAAATACCGCTGGCGGTGGTCACGATGCTCCACATAATTTCCAGCACGTTTTTCGAATTTCTCGACTACACCGTCGCCAATACGCTTATCATTTTTACGAATTTTTTCATTATATTAAGTTACCCGATAAACTTCGCCATCTATTGCGGGATGTCGCGTCAATTTAGGGAAACCTTCAAAGAACTGTTTATCAATGGCGAAGTCAGCGCGCGAAACGGTTCTTCCAGGTACTCGATCGTCAACGGGCCAAGAACTTGCACCAACGAAACGGTTTTGTAAATGTTCACATAGCACTAGAACGTCATAAAGATGTTTGTAACCTATCTAATCGCTTAATGTTATAAAACAGTTCCATAACTGTAATCATAACTTTACACATAAACACAAACGTTCAATTAAAATTTTTGAACTAAGCGTAATTTTATGGACAATTTGGCCAACCTTGAAGTTAGCAATTTTAAAATTTATTTCTTGTTGGACAGGACAACGCAATGATCATTCGCCCATTTTCGACTTCCGTCGAGGATACATTTTTCATTTCTTTGATATCGCAAACAATTAAACTTTGCATTAGGCTCACGGGAAACTATTAGAACTTAAAGCAGATCGATAACAATTCTATTAATTATACCAGATTCTGTATGGAGCGAACCATGAAATGATGAGTAAAACTTCTATAACCATTCCGACGTCCGTCAAGGAATGAGGTGGTTACATTGCACCATTATGTACTCTGACGGACTTAACAAAGCGTATCTGTAAATTGTTTCTATTTTTTTATTTACTTTCCACCGGTTCTTTGCATCTGGGTAGCCAGAGCTATAGCAAGCCTCTTAGCTTTTCAAAGAAACAAAGAAACCGATGTACCAGCCTCTTTTTTCTATTGATTATAGTTTATCATATTCAAAACCAGATAAAGTACGTAATATAAAACAGATAGGTTACGGTGTAAGAAGAGGCAGTTCTACCTTTAGTGTGTGAACTTTAATACTGGCCAACAGAAGTAAAAAAGAAGAAGAAGAACTTTAATACTGCAGTACTTTTTTTCAAGTTATGATTGCGATTATGAAAGTTCTTGAGGATACATTTAAAAACTGCTAAAATAATTATATGCGGTGTGTCTAAATTAAAACTCCCGTAAATTTTTCTAGTATTTAATGAGCATATTAAGACGATCAATAATTTTAAAATTTTTTCAGCGAAAATTTATATATTTTAAATTTTTAAAACAAAATGGACAGTATTTTTCATAATATGACTCAAAATTTAAAAAAAAATGAAATTTTTATTAAAAGCTTAAAAGATGTCTAATAATTGAAATCTTTTCATGAAGGCGTTCGAACGTGGTAAGACATAAAAGGACGACTTTACGACTTTCTGTGCTGTTTGAAATTAGGGAAACGGGGGGATAAATGTCGGCAAACTCCTCCACGTTTTATGCAGATGTTAAGTTGTTAGATGGAGGAAGAAAAATTGGAATCACTCGGAAAAAGCTGAGGAAACTATGAGTCACTCTGTTTCCTGGTACTCGCCTTGAAAATATGAAATCATGACGCTTAAGAAAACCGACTTCAATTATACTTTACGTTTTGTATTCTGAGTACAGTGGAGTATTTAGAGTTTTTCCCCTATTTGTTTGTAAATATAACGTTCGTTAAGTGGGGATAAAATACATATTAAGCAAACTGCTCACTGTTAGAGAATCACTGTCGATAGGTCTATGGTAATTGTACAAAATAGAGGACCCTGTATCTTGTATATCTACATATATACAACTAACCTGCATAATAATCTATAGGGGCAACATATTTATCGTTTTTTATTGTAGCAGAAATAAAAGTATTAAAGTGTAGAACTAGCAAAAATAGTTTAACAATTAAAACACAAATCAAATAGTTGTTAAAATAAGCACTCCAGCGAGTGTTTTCAATTTTCCCAACCAAATTACTTTGTTAACGGTTAAAAGTTTATCAAACTATAACTTCGATGGATTATTTTACTGGTTAGTTTATATAGATGAAAACGATTCCGATGACTGTTCTAAAGTCTTTTGTAATAATTAAAATTTTCATAAGCTAAATCAATTTAATTACTTATGAACGAACTATTTGTATCGTATTTATTTTTCCAGCAGGGTATATGTTAAATTATATGTATATTTTTATATACCGCGCGGAACTAGGAATGTTATTTACTCGCAACAAAGAGCCCTAATTTGGGAGTAAATAGCACTAACATTTTTTATTATATCAAATATTTCGCAGGTAAATATTTGATATAACCATCATCGAACGTGTATGTACGATTCTACGTATGTTGTGATTAAAAGTGTTTAATGTTATTTCTGTAACCATGGTCTAACAAAGCATTAAAAAAAGTGTATGAACTATTTATTGTTTTCGTTATTCATGCAACCAGTCCGATTAGTCCAATAAACTCTTTTGCGGATATAGGATTGAAATCGGTACGTTCAAAGATATTATACAGAGTGTGATTGAAATGACATGGCATAATTTAATTAATGAATCTCATGGTCGAGGGACAAGCGACAAAAATATTCGTTATAATGGTTGATACTGATATTCCGGAAAAAATGATAAAATAATGACACCGACAAATCAAGCAATAAGGTTTGCCGAGTTGCCACCTCTACGTTTCATAAACGCAAAAATGAAAAAAACTATTTCAGTGGAATTATTATTTTGTCTACTATTCCTAAAAAGAATTCCCGATTAAGTTTTAACATGAACATTGCTTATTTCATAAATTCAAAACCCAAAAAATATTCTTTTCAGTATCAGCGATTTCAGCGCCAATAGTTTAATAGATACAACTGACACTAGAAAGAATTTCCGATTAAATGTTAGCAAGGACATTGCCAAATCACATGAAATGGAAATAAGAAAAAATTTGGTTTCATTATTAATGTTAAAAAAAATTACATGATTAGTTTAATATGTTCAAATATTACAAAGCGGTCTTATTATTTTGTCTGCTAACAAGACTAATAGTTCCCGATTAATTTTTGGCAGAAACATTGCTAATATGTGATCAATTCAAACCGCAAAAAAAAGTCTAGTCCACTAATAAGAAACAGATTTAAATAATATTAGTTTGCTAATAGTTATATTAATCCAAATTACAAAATAAAGTGACTCACTCCTTTCCCGTTCGGCACCGCAAAAACTTCTTGCTTTTAACAAATTAGTCATATACTCCGCATTTGTATGGAACAACATCCCCAGTTTAACTTTTGGTCCCGATTTTCTCTCCACTACATAGCTACGAAAACTTCCACTTCATTCAAAATTGGACTACATTGATAATATTACACTGTATGAAATTTCGATCAAAATAGCAGTACAGTATAGTTAATAATCCCAAATGAACTCTGACTGATTCATTATTTGTTGCGTCTCCACAAATAAATTTTCTTACAAACTTTTATTTATAATGGAAAAATAACTGAAATAGACATCTAAACAAATACTTCACAATCGGTTTGTGAGCATGCGCTTAAGCTTACAACAGTTCTCTGAAAGGCCGGTGTTTTGCTGATGGTCTAAGTTAACACAGGTGGTGCGGTACCCCGCGTATTTTTGAATATGTGATTTTTATTCTTGTAATTTTGTGTATGTTTTGTTATTATTGAATCAATTATTACTGTTCATTTGTTGCATTGTTTCATGGTGCAATGTGTTATAAGTGTAGTGTGAAAAACTACCCTCGTCTTTAGGCGATATTTGATATTGATATTGCGCTCGAGTCAACAACAACAATACACATAAATGATATTGTTGGTTAGTTATGTACCATAACCATGTGACATGTACTAGAAAGCCCCGCCTACATTTATTTTTCAGCGAATTTATCAAAATCATCCATCTGTGAAGGAAGGAAGAGTCTAAAAAAGTGTCTTAAACCAAAACCTATCCAAATAATTTTGTTAGTATCGATAGTGAAAGAATGAGAGAGTCACTGAAGATTAGTGGAGTAACATATATACATACATAAAACTAGATGACTCAACTTACTGAGTCATCATTATAAAAATAGTAGAATTAGTCAAAAAAATGCATAATCTCATTTGTTTCAAAATATATTAGGCATGATAAATACCATTGTTAGATGTTAAAAACATAGCAGCACATTAATTGCAACTGTGGAATTTCCTGATTTTATCTCTATCGTCATCGACAACAAAAATTGATTTGAGGTTGTGGACTACACAGTACTTTAGAGTAAAATAACAAAAATGGGCGGTAATGCTCACTTGTTTTTCGTATGATACCTTAAAGATAGAGTACAATACACTCTTATAAGAAACCTTACTAGCTCTGAGTAAATACTATGCTGATTCTGTGGTGGAGCATTGCACGCAGCGGTTCAACCTCCGTTCGCTCCCGACAGAATCACTTGTAATCGTCCCGAAAAATTTTGAAATCGGTTTCCACTGGGTGGATTTAATATTTTTAGTATTTAGTGAATGTTTTAAAGTGATAATTGTCGCCGGCCCCATCATTTTTCCCCGTTCACGCTGGTATGGAGGCCGGATGTGCCCGGATGGTTCGTGGGGGAAGCGATTTTTTTGGTATTAGTCGAAATCGTTTTTTTGCTAGCTGAGCAAATATCGGTTATTTTTTTCTTTGTACGTGTTGGTCTATGACCAAAACCGAAATTCCTGGAAGGACGTTGTCAATGGGCGAATGACCATTGCCCATCTGTTTGTAAATAGCAAATAGAAGAAGAAATACTAAGCTTTGTATGTAAGAAGAATGGAATTGTCTGGTATTGTAGGTATCGTGTGAGTCCAGACATCAAAATATCTATTGAACATGGAAAAAATAAAATTATACGGATGATACGGTGCTTTGTACAGATGTGGGCAATTTTTAAATAGATTTTCATTGTATCAAATAAATAACTAATATTTTTTTATCAATAATTAAATAAACGTATTCCCATATGGGGTACCTGTGGAATAACAGTTTTCGGTAATATGCAAAAAGTACAAAATAAAGTAGTAAAAATTTTATTTCCACTCGATTATAGAAAACAAACGAATTTAGTATATGAAAACACAGGTGTATTAAAATTAGACTATGAAAATGTAACAGAGTAAACTTATTTATAAAATTTTATAAGCCAGCTTCACGAGCGTATTCAAGTATGATATAATAGTACATAATGTAAGAACCAATGTAAGACTGAATAATCCTATATGTAAAAGTATTAAAACATTCAACCCATTGACCGATAACTTGTCAAAAAGCGTAAATATTAACAGTTTTAGAAGAAATTAGAATATGATAGAGGGAACGACGACCTGGCTGGACAGAACTTGTAGGCTTATGAAAAATTTATCAAGGTTACGAAAATGTAGATATTTTTTATCTGATTTGGATAACTCGAAATATCTATTCCGCATAAGGATGGAGCCCAGATTCACTAATTAAGTTATATATCATTAAAATAATACTCTGTATTTCATGTAGAATTGCTGTCTGTGGCCGAAGGATCCTGGCAATTTGGCCACTGGCATTCCCTAAAAAAAGTCTCTTGGGTTATAATTAACATTTATTATTGTTTTAATTTCTTCATAGTTTGTGGTAAAAATATTTTAGCTTAGCTTTAGCGCTATGAGATGGAATTAGCGCAATCTTTAAATGCATTAGATATAAAGGCTGCCACTAACATCGAAATATTCGCCGCTTTGATACAAAATCAGCATACGGACTTTGTGATTTGTACTTTTCGTAACAGTGTGACTTACATTATAACACAATATGGGAAAATAGGTAATCTGTATTTGGTTGAGAGGGAAAAACTCGAGAACGGACTTTTTGATGCTAAACCGATCTACAGTGTTCGTACTTTGCTGGGAGGCGATAATATAGAAAGCGAAGTGGCCGCACGTTACATTACAGAGCAGTTAAAAATAGCCAAACCGGTTGTTTTCAGTTTAACTCTTAAAGATTTCAGCTCTGATACTCTTAAAAATATTGTGCAGGCTATTCAGAACTACCACAAATAATGGCTTTGCTAAAGAAGACAAAGTTAAGCGAGAGCTTTTTTGGACAGGTAGTTATCGGGCCTCCGGGAGCAGGCAAAACTACCTACTGTGGAAAAGTATATGACTTTTACATAAAGAAACTAAATCGTAAAGTTGAAGTTGTTAACCTTGATCCAGCCAATGAAAATATGCACTATAATCCTAAAATTGATGTAATGAAACTCATCACTGTCGAAGAAGTTATGGTTAATTTAAAATTAGGTCCAAACGGGGCTCTTATGTACTGCATGGAGTATTTAGAAGAAAATTTTGATTGGCTATTAATCCAGCTGGCTCAGGTTAAAGATAGCTACCTTATTTTTGATATGCCAGGGCAAATTGAACTTTACACTCATCATGAAACAATTAAAAATGTGTTTCAGAAATTAGAAAGGTTAGGATATCACTTGTGTGCTGTTCATTTAGTAGATTCTCATTACTGCTCTGATCCAACCAAATTTATTTCGACTTTGCTGCTATCTTTGTCCACTATGATGCATATCGCTTTACCCCATGTAAATGTTCTAAGCAAGGTAAACAATTTTTGGTCCGTGGGAGATTTTATTAAACCTGATAATTTTAGGCAGATCTCTTGAAAAAAAATGCTGCAAAATTAGATTTTGGGATAGATTTTTATGCTGATGTATTAGATTTAGATTATTTATTAGAACTCTTGGATGATGGTTACATTACAAAAAAATACAAGAAGCTAAACTCCGCAATTGTTGGGTTAATACAGGATTATGGTTTAGTGAGCTTTAGTCTTCTGGATGTTAATTCTGACAAAAGCCTTCTGGATTTGAAAAGTGCCATAGATAAGGTAAGGTTTATCAAATTGGCCTAGCTAATACTTAATAATTAATACATTCTGCCAGGCAAATGGGTATATCTACGGAAGTGGCGAAGAGAGAAGTATACAGGCACTTCTTTCATGTGCTGTTGGGGCCAGAACTGAATCAGAACGTTTTGATGCTGATTACATGTAATTTGTATTTAAATCTATTGTCCTTTTGATATACAATAAACCTATCAAAAATCACATAAATTGCAAATTTATTACAAAAACAAACTAATTTAAATTTTGATCAATATCTACACTGAATTTATTTTGCTGCTGGTTTGGCCTTCTGTTTCTCCAACTGTACTCTAAAATGCAAAGTAAAAATTCAGTTCCACTGTATTGTAAAAGTTGTTAAAAGAAAAAACCTCAGTTGTTTATTAAAATCGTCCTCGATGTTATCGTCCTCCCAATTGTCTTCCCATACACTGATATCTTGATCATCTTTCTCCTTGTGCGTCCAATCTATAAAAAAAATAAACGGGACTACCTAAAAAGTTGTTTATAATTAAACCAACACACCTTCCACTGGAAACTCTTCAAATTCATCGTCTTCTTCGAGGACACCCAAGTCTAATTTCGGTTTTTCGGACATGTTAATAATACGCGTTTCTAATTAAAAGGAAAACCCATGAATTTACAAATCACAGACACTGTCAAACTGTCAAAATCCACAGATCTAAAATTAGTGAAGAAATGGTAAAGGTAAACTAGTTTTAAACAGGAGAAAAAGAACATAACATTGTAAGATTAATTAACACAAATCGATATATACATACGGGCAAAAAAACACTTTAGAATATTTTACAAAGAAGATATGCTTGTTTCTTTATTACTGTGAATACAAATTTTCTTTATGTACTCTGATAAAACATGCTTAGTGACGTGTCTATTGTTTTCTAAGATAACCTCAATGTAGTAACATCGAATGGTAAAAAAAATAAAAATTCAACAAAACAGCCTAACCTAGACTGCCGAAGGACGATGACTTTTTTAAAATCGTGGGAAGAGTTTGAGAAAGCCGCGGAGAAGCTATATTTGCAGGAGCCCTCCAAGGTGCGCTATACCATGAAATACACGCACTCCAAGAATCAATTAGTATTGAAAATTACTGATGACGCTGTGGTAACCGAATTTTTGAATTATATTTTGTTCGCTTGTGGATAATTTGGTTTTAGTGTTTGCAATTCAAAACTGAAATCGCTCAAGACCTGAGGAAAATCGACAAGTTCATCAACAACCTTGTCCGGCATATGGTCTCTAAAGAAACATAAAATCTACTGCTATAAATTGACTGAATTCTGTTTTTATATCTTCTAATTTATTAATAAAACGTTATAAGAAAAGGATGATTATTATATTGAAGGGAAATAAAGGAGGATCACATTTTATATTTTATATTAACATCAAATTAATAAAAGCACAATAGGTACAGACAGAACTCAGCAAGGTACATTGCCAAATATACAAATAAATATTAAAAATTTACAACTAAAATGCTGGTACGTGAAAATCAACAAAAATTTACAAAGTTATGCATATATATTGCCTAAAATTTATATTACAATTCACTAATTGATAAAATTGGGTAATTCTTCACTTTAAATATTTCTTGCCATTTCGTCTTCTAACATAAAATTGTATGGGGTAACCAATACATAGCACCCACCTAAATGAATCTCTAGTGCTGTATAACTAAAAAATGATAAAAGTAAAAAACAAATTGATAGAACTATCTTGCCTTAATGCCTGTTAACACACAATGTTTAACATACATCCAATGTTGACGTCTTTGATGGTATTTGAAAAAAGATTCTAAACAGACCATTTTAATATTTTTGCAATAATACATTTGAGCTAGTCTGATTACAGGCAGATATAAAAAAAATGGGAAATGTGCTATGGCATACACATTTTCCTTTGATACAATTGAACTATTTAAAAATTATATGGTGACTTGCCAAATATACTAAACAACTTTGGTTTATTTAAACGCGCCCGATATTTGCACCCTCAGTATTTCATTTGATTGAACTACTATGACTACTTGAGACATATACTTTATATCAAAACAACTGGGCTAGAATTTTTGTTTTGCTATAGTGTTAATATTTCACAGCTTTGGTTTTTGGCTATTAAATGTACCTCTTCTGCCATCATTACATGTTGGACACCTGCCACACAATGAGGTGGTTCTGCTTTTCCGGTTTTGGTTTCGAGAAAGCGACGTATTCGCCATCACGCACTACACCATCGTCGATGTCTTCAGCATCATCGCCTAGGGGAGAGGAGAGAAAAAAATCTTGTAAAACTTGGGGGCCGAACTTCAACCTCTTACGCTTAGGACGTACCCCAAAGGATCCAGGGGGAGGTCATTTAAAATCTGCCAAACCAGTAGGTGTGAAGCTCCGTCTCTCGGCTCGTTATCGTCCTCTGCAAAGTTGTTTATCGTTGCCGAATTTTTTGCTTTCACGGTGTTTATTTACAATTGATAAGCGGTTGAAAGCTGACACCATAGAGGTTTGGCAGTTAAGAGGAACATTAACCAGTACACCAAGTGTCCAAAAAGAGTGCACGCGATGAAATAATTCCAGAACTTCTTATAAAAAAATATATAACAAAGTCAATGTTCCTAAACATAATCCCCAACCCTAGACAGAAGATTTTATTCTTAAACTCTGATTTTCGTGTTGTGGTTAGTTCAAACTGTAAAATGATGTGTCGTTTCAGAAAATAAGATTCATTCATTTGTACAACTGATTTGTGTGTATTAATCCTCTCTTCTATTCACCGCGGTTAAATTCCATATTTTGAAATATGCAAACAAAAATCGTTTAATTTTGTTTGTATTATCAGCCCTGGGTAAAATTTAACAAATCAGACATAATCTAAAACTAAAACTACCTAAATGCAAAAATGGAGGTTATTTGTTTGTTTACGTGTTTTGCTCTAAGTCTCTGGCCGCATGTTGTGATTAATTTAAAACAGATTTGGTTCTAGAAAGTAAGATGATTGTTGTACTGACATGACGTTGTACTAAATCATTTACTTTTGTTGCATTATTTGTACTAGGCAAATTTTAACAAATCGGAAATAAGGTTTCAATTACAATTAAAACTACATAAATACAAAATTATTTATAAGAATGGTCCTAGTAAAAGCGTATTGTCATTTAATCAAAATTTTTTCTCATTGTATATAGTGTAGTATGCAATATTAGGGCTGTGGAATTGACCGGTCAAGTTTTTTTGTGTCAATTGACCGAAATAATTTTTGAAGTACCATAAAATTTACATTTATTTATATTGTGCTTAGAGCGCCGTCGCGTCGTTCTGCGAATCAAATGAAGTCTATGAAGTTATTGTTGGGATTCCCTGAATCGCTAAGTACCGTTTGGATATTCCTTGAAGAAAGTTATAGGTAAATTGGACATCACAAACGCATAATAATTTAATAAAAAATACATATTATTAAATAATGATAGATAACACTCTACAATTGCAAAATGTTATTTAAAACATTTTTTGACTAGTCAATTAAAAAGTGGTCAATCGACCAGTCCCAATACTATGCAACATGTTGATCAACTTATCAGTCACTCGTTTATTGAACACTCGCTCCCCGCGTGCCAAATCAAACTTGTGACAAAAGTGGCGTTTATCAAACTTATTGCATAATATATTTACAAATCGTTTGTCAGTCTGACACAAAAAACCGCCATTTTTGTTGCGAACTCTGTAAAACAAAATATCGATTCGGGGAAAATGTTTGGGTCCACATTCACTTATTAAATTATATGGTGTCCTTTCAATAACACTCTGTATACGTTTAGAAATAGTATAACAATTTTTTCAAACTTTTTGAACTCCCACGGACATGTTAAAGACAGGCAATGGTTAAAATTCCTATAGAAACCCAGACTGACAGATAGGACTTACCGTTTCGGAAATCGACATACCCTTCGCCACCGGATATCACCAGCATGGCGTTAGGGGGTTTGGGCGGGCCTCCGATCGATGAAACCGACACGGACATCGCCTCCGACGGGGAGGAGGCGGCGCTAATCCCCCCATGACCGGGAACCGCCACGAAAAACTTGACGTCGTCCCGATGACCGTGGAAACTCAACTGCGCCTGCGCCATTGTGCAGTAAGGAACGTAGCTGCCGGGCGCGGGCGGTACTCGAATACCAGTACCTGCGATATTATTTACTTCATTGGTGCTCACTACAGTGCTTGCAAGAATCATAAAAAAGAAAGAGTATAGCATCCCAATTCGAGATACATAAATGAAATTAAATAGCCTATTTAAAACAATACATTAAATAAAAAAAAAAGCAAAATGGTTTATTGGGAGTATCCTATCGCTTCAACTCTTGTCCTTTATTTTTCTACCTCCTTGCAAATCGACTTTTGACAAGAGTTAAAGGTCTACATAGCTATATGTTTTTTGCTGATGCCCCTTTGCCCTTAGGAAGACATAAATTATTTCTTTGACTAGTGTTGAATAAGTAAAAAGTTAAACAAATGTCACAATATAACTTTTTCTCATCAGAGATAACCCACAACTTTAGACCATCCTTTTGAACGCACACACTACTCAAAATAAAACCTGAGTGACCAAATCTTAGTGTTATGTTGGATTCAAGTCTTAGTTATGCAAATCTGCAAGAATCTATAAATCTTTTTGGCACTAGACACACACCAAAATAAGTTTTTAACAGCGCTTACAATCAGATCACTGTGACTAACTATACTTCAGGAAATAGGCACTATGCAGTAAATGAAAAAATAATTCGGCTAGTACCTAAGGTTAGGAAAGCAAATTAATGTCCTAGTATCTGAAAACTCAATGCATACCTGGAACTGTGCTTCGAGACGTGACCCCGCCCTGATTGGTGCTGCCATCGTTGAGTGGTACGGATATAATCACACCATTACTCGTGCCGATCCACAAGCGATTCGACGAGATCAGTAAACTAGTTATACGGACTAGAGAAAAACCCAATTTTCCAGTTCCTAAAACCCGAAACTTATCAATAACGCGGATTTTCCACTTTGTCTTCCGCACTTGCCTAACATTTTGCTAACGTACGGTTCGATGTCGACGTCCTGAAGGTGCTGGAACGTATGGGCGTGGTACAGGCGCAGGGTCGAGTCCAAACGTATAGATACCCACACACCCTCGCCCAGCCATGCCATTTTTCTCGCCTAAAAACGCCGTACGTAACTCCGAGAGACCAACCAAACTATTCAACTGCCTTACAGTGCTTTCCCGTCTAGGATGCACCTCCAACGTGTGTACCACTTTCATTTCCCGCGGATCAAGCACGTGGATTTTGTTCCTATACGCGCACCACACCTTATCCCCGACGGCGGTCAACTGCCGCACGGCTTGTTGGGGCAGACCCAAGGTCACCACGTGGTAACGCGACAGGTCCCACTCGCCTTCCGGGTTCCGTTTGAATATCACCACTTGTCCGCAAGCCAGCGCAGCCACCACGCGGCCATTGACGTGACTGCGGGTATTTTTAAACAATTAGATTTTGAATTATGTGCTTACACATATCCAACAGAGAGATGTAGGTGTTCAATAAAAGGAGACTCAAAATATCATAATGAAACGTAGACTACATTATAAGCGTGACTACCGTCTTCGTCACTCAAAGCTCAGGCCAAATACGTCCATATCAGGAAAATCGTGTTTAATAACTTTATAACTGAGTGTACATCTAATGATTGGAGTGTTAGAAGAATAGTTTGAGTAGTAGGATAGAAAATTTGTTTTCGAAGTACATACAAACAGAAATTCGAGAAAATTGTTTACAGCTTTATAAATAAATACTAAATCAGAATTTGTTCTCCAAGGACTGCATCTAATAGAAATTATGGCTTTCACTATAACTATAAAAATGTGCCAGTCTATTAACAAATTAACAAATTTGGGTTGTACATTCTCCAGTCGTTTAATATATTTGAGAAACATTGGATTCCAGACCGTCGTAGCATCTTTTAATGCAGATCAGACCAAACTATAAAAAAAAATCCCAAACACTATATGCTCGACTATATGTTATTGAACGCGTCAGTTGTAAATATAATCTTTTAAATCATTTGAACAATATTTATATTTAATGTAATATCGACCTTTACAGAGTTCAACAAGTCTGTAATTTAGTTTACTTACACCGTAAAGATAACTTTTCAGTTGACGTATCTTTTTAGAAAATAAAATTCAGTGACATTTCTTGCTTAACAAAACGCAGTCTGCTACCGAATGATTAGATCAGCGTATAAAAAGGAGGTATTATGTAAAAACCTCTGACCAGCAAAGTTCCAAATGCAATGACCGCTTACTCGACTCTAATCAAAGCTGCCATCCCTGGAGGCCCGGCGAAATCGACCTCTAGAAATTTTAATATATTAAAATATTCGTGGGAAGAGCAGAAGTTTTGGTTAGTTCTTTTATGCTACTGAAACTGGTATTGAATTTTAATGTTTTTTAGATTTGAGACAGTAAACATACTTTTTTTTTTAATTTGTGGAAACCATATATCTATAACATGATATAGTGGCCTTACTACGGTAAAGAGAGAGAATGTACGGATCTTTTGCGCATGCGTCACCCCCCAGCTCACTGAGTTGCTATATTGCCGTAATTTTTCTGGAAAATTGAATAATTTTTATAAGAACGCAATATCAATCTCTGAAATCCGAATATAATTCGCAAAGTCAGGATAAGTTACAGCAAATGTGGCAAATATGAGAACCTAATAGGATCTTAGAAAAACAGTGATGCCTAAATATTTGACATTTAACAAACTGGAAAATGTAAATTTACTAAACAGAATTCCCTACATTTTTAGGTACACTTAAATAGCTATGAAGGATGCTTGCGTAGTATGTTTTAGCGTGCAAGAATTATAGGAAATATACAAAAGCAATTAGGCTACATGTTGAATTTTTTACTAGAACAAGCATAATTATTGTGCCATATCTAGCATCTCAAAGTTATTTCAATGGATTTTAAACCTATGAGTAACGCTTTAGGTCGATTTACAAAAAAAAAATAGCTTACATAAAAAAATACATGTAAAAATTGCATCCTATCTACAGGGCTTGAAGAACATTTCATATTTGGATAAAATTGAACTATCATCTCATTTTACGCTTGCTGAACTTAGTTTTAATGAAGTTAGGGAAATCATAAATAGTCTCAAAAATAAAAATAGTCGAGACGTATTTGGCATAAGCACGCGGTTAATAAAGTCTGTCAAGAATGAAATATTACTGCCTCTCACAAAACTTATAAATTTAAGTGTTCAAGGCAACACCAGTAATAACAGTATTTAAAAAAGGTAACTCTGATGTTGTTGAAAATTATCGACCTATATCTCTACTTCCAATTGTTTCAAAAAATTTTTATAATAATCAGTTTGGTTTTAGGAGAAAAAAAAACACTGTTTCAGGCATTCTCAATTTAGTTTCAGATATAACAGATGCATTCCAGAATTGGCAATATAACACCGTATTATTTTGTGATCTCATTAAAGCCTTCGACTGAGTCGATCATGTAATTCTTCTGCGCAAGTTAAAGGCTTCTAATTGTTTAAATAGCAGTTTTAGTTTAATGCAATCTTACCTTAGCAATATATGCCAGGTGATTAAGAACTTTGGAGTGACATCAGCAAACATGGGAGTGCCCCAAGGTCCAATTTAGAGCCCCATATTTTTTTTTAATATATATAAATGCCGAAGACACCACCGTGTCTGCTTCTGGGGATTGATTAGAGGACACGTTGGATAGTTTCAGGATCGCACAGGGAAAGGCTGAACACTCGTTTAGTGCAAATAAATTAGTTCTAAATAATGATAAAACAGAGAGAGGGTTTTTTTCCATGTGAAATATAAATACAATTAATTTTAATAAAATAAATACCAGATTTCTTGGCATCTATATTAACCCAAAACTTCAGTGATCTGACCAAAATTTTGTATTTTCTCCGACGCTTGACCGAAAATGTCTCTCCTGGCGTGTTAAGGACTTCATATTTTGCACTTTTTCATTCACACCTCCTATATGCGATCTTAATATGGGGGCATGTTACTGGCAGGCACCGTTTGTTCAGATTACAACGAAAAGCAATTCGAATTATTAGTAGATTTGGCTGTAAAAATGCTGCCGCTTGGTCCGTTAAGTTTTTTAATTCGCTTCCAAATGCTGTTTGTAATTTACCATTTGAAATTTATAAACAAACGATTTTTAATTAATAATTAACATAAACATAATCAGTAACATTAATAAAGTATTTGTATTCGTAACAAAAACGCGAAATTAATTACAGAATCATAATGACGCCGACGTGGGTGATGTAATTATGCACTGTTTTTCCATTCCTTAACTCCTTTTTTGCCTGAAAATTTAATAGGATTTCGACTTTTTTGAGATAATACTGCTGCAAAAATGCCGCATCCGAACATCGACGATCTGTCAGTGGCCATGTATAGGTCCTACGAAATTTGAAATCTCGCGCATGCGCACGTTGAATGGATTTTCAAAAAGAAATAGATAGTTGCTTCATGAGTTCCTGTACTGTAAGCATAAGCAGGATCTCTATATGTCTAGTAGCTATATGGTCGAAACTGGAGGTTAATATTTTCCACTTTTAAATACTTAAAATTTACCGCTCCTATTTTGGGCGTACCCAACCATTTATTAGTACTCAAACACAGAGATATTGTCCTAGGACGTTATTCATGAATTGCAATTCGAGATAAGTTGCCAAATAAGCTTTAAAACAATGATTATTGATGTTAAATGCAAAAACTAAACTGACGAAAACAACTTACACAATGCTTATCACAGTATCTTTCAGCTTCACGGTGTGCAACCGTTGGGTCCAGTTAGCGACCGAAGAATGCACGTAGATGTTGCCCTTGTCGTCACCCATCCACATGGTCGCCAACACGCTCGACATTACTTCCCGGTTACCGCCGCTCGAGGGCGCCTCTGTCAGTTCCGGCTCGTTTGTGTCGCCCGCCTCTGTCCCCGCTTCGGGTGCGCCGTCCGATTTTTCCGGTTCCGATTCTTGTTGAGATTTGACGCCCACCTTATACTGATCCCTTTTGCTGACAGCGGTTGGATCGTTTTCCACATATTCGACCTTGCCTAACTGAAAACGCGGAAAATTTTCTTCACCGTCGACTGTCACCAATTCGCCGACTTACCACTGCAGCTTCGCCCTGCTCTTCTTTTTTCCTGACGGCCATCAAGCTCTTGAGATGATTGTTTTCCGCATCGTCAGCGACTTCGCTATCTTCCTCTTTCTCCGGTCGGCAGATTTGCGTTTCCGCGTCTTCTTTGGGGTCCTTATCACCTATTTAAATTTGACATAAATGCGCAGCATAAACAGCATAGCCTAAATAAACCTCGTCCTTCAATTTATGCTAAAAAATTCCACGGGAAATATCGTTATTGGTTTGATATTACTTTCTGGAGATTTGAATAAAGGTAAAGTCAGTATTTAAATAGCGCCTGTAATTTCTGACCTGCGAGGAAAAATTGAAAAATTGGAGATTCTCAAAAAAATTCCTAAATATGAAAGAAATTTTCTAATCTATTTTGCATTTGCCTTGCTTTTAACAGAAGTAAAAGCTATATTTTTCCAGGATCTTCACCAGAATCAGAACCTTAAATACGGAACTGATATTTTTTTGCATGATTTATATCTGTTTTAGATGCTTTCTGTGATGGTTGAACTTAAATTTAATTTTCGTGATGTTTTACCTCATAAAAATATCATTTGGATTTTTTTAAATACGGTTGTGTTATTTTTTTATATTATATCCAAATTATTATTTATAATGAATTTTATTAACATATTGTAATAAAATATCATTTTTCTCTTCCCTTCGGTCAAATACCTAATTATACATCGATGTAGAATGCGGGAAACGTCACTTTACCACGTCAGTTTCGCTTCCTACGGATCCAACGCACTTCGGATATTTCCGGGATATTACCACACGGTTCTGGGAGCAATCGGATGTCTTCGGAGATTTTACCACATGAGTTCAATTTTGACATTGGTCAATTCTGACGGTCATGTATATAGTTTATTATGCAACAAGTGCGATAAACGGCATTTGATTCACAAGTTTATTTGGCACGAGCGAAGCGACTGTTTAATAAACGAGTTACTTAAAAAATTTACCGAACGTGTTGCATACTATACTTATTATACGACCGCTAATTTTTGAGTACATTTTCGCAAAACAACACGAATATATTCACTGACATGACCGTCAGAATTGACAAACGTCAAAATTCAAAGCGTGGGAAATATCTCCGAAAACATCCGATTGCTCCCAAACCCGAGCGGTAAAATCGCGGAAATCTCCGAAGTGGCTCGAATCCGTGGGAAATGAAACTGACGTGGTAAAGTGACGATTCCCGCACGCTGGATCGGTGTGTATTTTACAGACGGGAGTAGAAAAATGCATTATGTTGTTTTGCAAAAATGTACCCAAAAAATAACTGTCGTAGAAAAAGTATAGTATGCAACACGTTTGGTAGACTTTTTAAGTCGCGTGAATATTTTCTACTCCCTTCTGTAAAATACCTAATTATACACCGATCTAGCATGCGACAAGTGTCATTTTACCACGTCAGTTTCTTGTCCCACCGATTCGAGTCACTTCGGCGATATTACCACACGGGTTTTTGAGCAATCAGATGTTTTTAGACGGTCATGTCAGTGAATCAATTCGTGTTTTTTTGCAAAAATATACCCAAAACTAACGGTCGTAGAAAAAGTATAGTATGCTAAACTTTTTAACTCACTCGTTTATTAAACACTCGCTCCGCTCGTGACTCGTGACACAAATGCTGTTACCTGCACAGCCTAATACAAATTAACTTTAACTTACTCTATTTTTAAAACTATAACCCAAACTTTTGAATCATAAATTAAGTGTTCAAACTGACGGGAGTAAGTCCAAAGAATCCAAACAATAATTTGATAACAAGGATATCAGAAAAAAATAACAGAATACAAAAATATGATAGGCTGAATCACCAAAATCTAAGAGATATTTTTGCGAGGAAAAGAATCGCAAAAAAACCATCATATTCTGACCCTGGTAAAATTCCTAAAAAAACAAAATAAACCTAATATGAAGGAAGGACAAAATTTACTCTCCGATGGTGGCGCTGCTGATACTAAACAAACGTGGCGGTAAAGAATTATTTTACGTTTACCAATTTACCTTTGAGCCTTTGGCGGGCTCATTCTACCAGCACAAACGACAGTAAAGCATTATTCGTGACTTCATTAACTATTTTTGTGGTGTGTGATTTGCGGAAATTGGAGTAAGAATAAAATCTTTCGATGAAATCCATTTTGCATTTAAATTGTAAAGTAGGAAGAAACTGGTGTAAATGCAAAACATGCAATTTTAATTTTTTCAAGCTACATCAACCTAACCCATACAAAGCAAACATGAAACTCATATGAAAACAACGCTACCTATCCAAACTTTACTTCGCTATTACATTAACTATTTTTTTACCAGAGGTCTCGTGGAATTGTAAAATCGCCAATGCCATTTTTTCATAATAACCGAGTTTCTTTTAAAAGAATATCAAAAATTTAAACATAAGGGGCGGTAAGGTCTCCAGTAGTCGAGGCCTATTGAATTTATGGACAGAAAGAACCCTTTCTTCGCTTACTTGTAGTGGGTGCTGCGTCTGTCGTTGTATCGAGGTAATCGCTAGGGCTAGCACCGGGAACGCTGGCTATGCATAACACTTGCTCAGAACAAACCCCAAAACTGTTCATTATCTCCGCCGGGTTGTTCGCATCGATTATCGTTATTATGCTGACCCTAGACATGGTCGCGCATATCCACACCAGAGACGACAGCCTCGTTTCCAACAAAGCGCCCTCTTTGCTATCGTTTAGCTCTTTATCGAGAGTCTCCACTTCAGTTTCTGGGCGGATCTCGCTCGGAATTTCCGGCTCCTCCGAATAAAACACACTACCCCCGACCTATCAAAATTATAAATCAATTGCAGTACGTTGACTGACATCAATTCGTCTTAGGATTCGGACTGAAACATGCCACGCTCTGTCGGTGGTTATCTTACCATCAAACCCCCATCTCTGGTGTAACCGCCCATCAGATTCACGCCGGCCGCGCACCAAATCTTCATTTTCGGATTCGTTTCGGCGAAAGGGCGACAGTAAACCGGCACGGGGACAGGCAGACCGCCGCTATGCTTATCGACTAGCGTAGGAGCGTTCACTTTGCCGGGCAGACTCCATCCGTATGCCTGGAGGCGACCGTCTTCTTTCTTCACGTGCGCCCTGACCTACAAACCTGGCGTTTAATCAATGGAAACGAGCACGACTCTAGTACAAGCAGCCCTAGACTATGTGTGTGAGCTAGGTTGTCAAGTTTGGAATATATATTGATGAATGAAACAGCATGGACACTAACTAAATATATGTACAGGTAATCGAAGCTTTCTCGCATATCGCTAATTAAAAAATGGAACAAACAAGAGATGGCGCTGGCGACACCACTTTGTAACTGAAGAATCGCTAAGCCAGTTGCGTTGACGTTCGTTTTGTGTTTGTGAGTTTATTTGGAGAGAGCAAGTTAAAGAAGAGTTCTTCAAACAATATAGCGTTTTTACGACCTAATCCGGTATTTATCTTTGGTAAATTTTTATGAAGCTCTAACCGCAGGCCTACCTTGCTTGGGTTTTTCTTTGTAATCCTCAATAAATAGATTCGCAATTCTACAATGACGTTCCAGAACCATACTTCGGTACTTCGTGCATACAAATGCTGGAAGCTGACGGATTTGTGTGGAATTTCATCGGTGAGATTCCTCGATTATTATTAGTTCACGCACTGAAAAATCCATTCTCATGGCACAGTTCTTGTCGGCTAACATCTTAAATACGGCGCTAGCTCGTGGTACACCTACTGAAAAGAATGGTCCCTTCCGCTTTACAACAGGCGGGTTTTAAACTCATTCCGAAGTCAAAACCATAAAAGGTTGTAAAAACGGTATATTGTATGGAGAACTCTACTTAACTTTTACTACTTTCTCTGCTGTTTGTGAAATTATTTTATTTTAAATAAATATTCATATATTTCGGTTTAAACGAAGTTAAAAAAAGGGTACTGTGTAGTCGAATGCCGAAACCGGAAGAGCAGGAGGCACGGTTTTCCAAAAAACTTCCAATCTTATTCAAGTTGTGAGTAGAAAGAGTTAAACCCAATTATCACAAAGTTTAGACAGTGGAAGAAATTTACATAAAATACGTCGCTTCTAATTATCAAATATTTTAATATCCTATTTCAAGGATTATACAAAAAAATTAGAAGTTCTCGGTTTGCTTATCTCAGGTGAGTTTTGACATCATGTTAGTGTTATATCGCTAAAGAGATTTCAAAATTTCCATAGAACTAGATTTACAATGGGAATTGAAAAAATTTTAATAGGTAGTTAAGTTAGTCAAGTAGAAAAGTTACATTTTACAATCCGTTTGTAGAATTGTAGAATTTAAAAAATGATTTTGTTTAATTATGGCAATGAAACGAAATACATTTTTTTTTACACAAACATGTGCTAATTACGCTAATTTAATTTTAAAAACAAATTTGTTCAACTCGTTCCTTTGATAAAGAAAGAATCTGCCTAATTATTTTACCAACATCTTCACGAAATGAATGGGACAACAACGAGATGTCACTTTTTCGATGTTATACGACTGAGAATGCCCATTTCCAGTCAATTTTAGTGTGTGTAGCTAAAGTGTTCTATAAGCGGTGTTGGTCTAGGTCTACGCTGCGACTTACCTGACGGTACTGTTCACGTCGTTCCAGCGCCTTTCGCATAGCGAGCTTGTCCGATCCTACAAAAGAAACGCTGTATGACTTATTGGACCCCTTTTACGAGTTACTTACGCGGATGAGGATATATCGTGCACTACTATAACTTTTAAAAGCCTTACCACACCGTCATCTTACGAATCCGGTCGACCTAAATGCGATGCGCGAAATAAAACTCTGTTTCAAACAGTAAAAGTAGTTGTATTGCAAACCGAGGCGAATTAACAAAATTATCGCTGTGAAAATGTTTACCGCTTCTGTAAACGATACCACTTGAAATCAAACGCTTAATAAAAAATAGTAACAATGGTAAACTAGAAGTAAGTTAGAAACAAATAACAATATCTATAAAACAATATGAAATTATAACTGTGTTAAAGTGTTTATTTGACTAGTTCGGTAGCTGTTATTTTGCCGCCAAAATACTAACTTCCATAGCATTTGGACAGTGTCACTACTACTGAGCAATATTTCTTTTTGATCAATGTGCGTGTTTAGGTTAGTAAAATAATGCTTGCTCAAAGAAAATAAATTTTATTCAATTCTAGGCTTCTAATAATTGATTTCTCACAAGACACCACAGCAGTAGAATACAATCACAAAATATGTGGTAAAAATCTCATTTCTAGTAATATAACTCCTTCGGAAATAAATTAACCAATAATATATGCTAACCAACCAACCAAGGAGGGGCGGCATTCTGGACGCCTTCTAGAGCGGCCTGGGGGCACAACGGGCCCATCCGGTGGCCTAAGTGCTTGGACGCCCGCGAGGACGCCCCCCTTTAATACCAATACCAATAATACCAATGCTACCCAACCAAAATTAGATATTACTTGTTGTTGGTTGATCAAATATAACAGATCTTTTTTACACTACTCAAGAACGCCAATATTTGAACAGAATGATCGATCAAAATAACTACACATTAGGGTAGTTTAATTAATATTCAGCTAGTTTCTGAATTGGCCAAATAAACACTTTAAGTTCAAAGTTTGGAATTATAAAAACTCTAAGGTAAGGTTAATATAGGCACCCTGATTTACAGATCGACTAGGTAACCCCAAACTTTGAAAACGAATTGCTTAACCTAATTTCTTATGGCCACTTTTGTACTCAGTTTTGCGTTTAGTCACCTAATAACAAAAACTATAAAATAAAACAGATCATCCAAAATCCGATTTCGATTTCGTTGAGCAATACTCGTTTAGCACCGTTAAAACTCGCTCCTGTAGTTTGAGGTAATTTCAATTGAATAAAACAAAAGTCTAAAAAAGCCACAAGGCAATTAAAATAAACACCATTCCGATAAACAATTTTTCATAAAATTCAAACCAGTTTTTGCCTGAAACCAATGAAATACTTATAAAACAGCACACGTGAAACGAACACGCAAAGAACAGCAACAGAACAACAAACAGGAAACACCCAACGCCAGCAAGATCAAAACTTGTAAGTAACAACAAGAATACAGACGGTTTTTCAAACAACCTTTAGCTAATTTCTAGGGTAAATTGAATATTAAACAATAACGTTTGTTTGGTTAATAAACATGTGTCTCTTCCATCAGAATGTCTGTTCTACAAATGTTTTTTTTTTCTTTCTGAACCGGTTTAAGAAACCCAATAGTATGTGATGCAAGAAGTTTGATAAATGCCATTTAATAAACAAGTGGCTGAAGAACTTTATTAAAGTGTGGTATATTAAACGTTTTTTACAGTACATTTTTGCAAAACGGCATTAATACATTCACAGGGTGACGCGTGATGTGAAAGTCAGAATTGACAAATTTTAAAGTACCATGATTACTGAAACCTGAAACCATCCAATCTCTTCCAAACCCGTGACTAAAATACCGGAAACGTCCGAAGTGGCTCGTAGCCGAGAGCAATGAAGCTGAGGTCATAAAGTGACACTTTACGCAAATACCGTGACTGACTGCTGACACATTATCAGTTTAAAATGATTTACAATACTTTTACTGCATTATTACTTCTAGAGCATCAAAATTACTTAAAATAATTTATTAATTCGGTCCAGTCTCACTATAACCTCAAATAACTTCAAAAGCAGTTTCAACCTTAAACAACCATTTTATGGCATTTTTGGCAAAAATAAAATAACTAAAATATTGCCCTAAAAAATGTTTGAAGGCAAAATAAGTGACCCACCTATAGAAAACAAAATTTAGTCAGTAGTATAAGGTATTTGTGGTCTAAATTTCATTTAAGAATCTTAAACGGTTTTAGAAGTAATAACGATTGTTGTGTGTCCCTTTTACGAACGGCATTTTTGGATACATGTTTATGAACTAAACCAACATTACTTTTAAGTATTCTAGACCCAGTGTATTGACACTGACTTTCGCGTTTCTAGCAGGACGTTAGTGGTTAAATAAATCAACATTCCCATCAGATATAGCAAACGAAAACCCAATGTTAAGGCTTATAGTGCTCATCTTTGGCATAAGGTGGGCAAAAACATTATCACAGACAAACGCATCGAAGCGCAGACAATATATCCGACATTAACCTCGACCCTTTACCCTTCAGTTTAGACGACAGATCAAAATCACAGTTCCGTACCCATTTCGACGTCAGTCCTATCTGTAATACGGGGCAAGGCTTTGGTTCCGGGCGCCACCTGGTTCGTCGCCGTCCGATAACTCAACCTAGGCTCCGACGGGGGCCTCGGGACACGGTCACCGCTGCTAAAGAGATTACTAAAAAACGTCCAAATGCTGCGATGATTTTTGTCAAGGGGCGGAGTCGTACGGCTCGCCCGCAACATTTGCGTCCAGCGCACCGCTTCCTGCAGTTCCATGAAACTTTCCTGCAAGTGGGAGGGGCTTAGTTTCATTATTTTTTCATCGAGAAGGCCCGAGGTCCAGGCGAGACAATTTACGAATGCCTAAGCAGTCACATGCACACTCGATCTCGTTCGCATTTAGTTAGTTAATACGCTGCTAATAATAGTGGAAGTTTTCGATGAAATTCTGTCAATTGCGCGACCGGACCAGACGAAAATAAAGCACAATGTTAGTCGATGTCAAATTCATAAATACCATATTTAAAAACAAAAAAAAATCCCTACAATGTTCCCTATTGTTTTCAATTTAAGATTTAAGAGAAATTTGAATGAATCCTTGTTTCATCGAGTAAACTGGCTGGCTTCATACTGCATAACTGAATCCAGATAAGGTTGTGTGTGCAGTGAGGTTGCCACTGGTAAATCGGACTCATGCTGAGCAAAGAAAAGCTATACAGAATCAATCCCGGTTTTTAGTTACACAATTCTTTAAAGAACAAATGGAAAGAGTTACTTCATATATTCTTTAAACTTTTTGTTGATTTAAACTAAACACTTGGCATAAAACGTGATCGCTAAAATTTCTTTTTAGAGGAAGGAGAATTGAATTTCTTTGCAATTTTGATTTTTTTTTAAATATTTATCCCTGCTTAAGCGTTGAACGCCTAGAGTTAAATTTTAGTAAATAGTTACTTTATTAACTGCCTTACTGAAACAAAAGTGTGAAGTACGCTTGTCCTATTTAAAATATAAAACTGCAGGTGATTGAACAACTGTTTAGATCTAAATTTTTCAAAAAATATATTTAACTAACAACCCTCATGAAACGCTATAGCAGTGCCGTACAGTACTGCTTACTAACTTTGTACTGATTCCTTTCCATGAGGACCCGCGCCATTTCCACCCTGGTGAACCTCTTCCTCTGCGCGAGAGGCACGTCGGCCTCCTCGTCAGCTTCCTGTTTCGCCTCGTTCGCCTCCCTCACTTTTTTGAGTTCTTCCTCCAGTTCGCTTATTTTTTCTTTTAGTTTTGTTCGTGACACGTTCAACGACAGGATTTCGTCCCGTAACATGTCAATCTCGCCGGTTAGCTCGTCGACCTTGACTATGAGATCGTCCTTAACCACATTGAGGGCGTTCCTGAACAAAAAAAATGTTATGGCCAGGAAAAGGGAATAAATCTGAATAGGTATACTTGGTGGCCAGGAGTTCGTTGTTCTCCATTATTAGGTTCTCTACTTCCTTACCCATGCCTAAAATTGAAATGAACAATTAAACTTTACGACAGAAACTCATTTCGTTTTGTTATTTTGCAGGCGAACAAAAAGAAGCATTAACACAAGTATATTGTTAAATTCAGAAGTCTATTAGCATTCACATAGACTAAACACACCTAGACCTTCAATGCTAAAAAGTTACCTCCAGAAAGTAATTAAAACGCATATATTTGATCTCAATTACCTACAGCAGATATTATTAAGTGGTATTAGCCTAGATCTATTTAGCGTATGGCACCTACTTCGTGATTTAATAGCAAGTACTCACCGTAAAAGTTGTCATTGACTGCATCGAAGAGACAGCGTCCGACAAAGGAAAAACATGTTAGTATAGGAAAAAAATGACTAAATCGAAACTTAAACATTTTTTGGGAGGGGAAAAACAAACAGTTGTACAAAAATTCGCACTAGCACACCCTTTAGCAGGACCGCAATCTCATGCAAACTTTTATCACGGAAGCTATATTTATACAAAAAAACGGTCACTGCGAGAAATAGACTCACCCGAAGAAGCATATTCTCCTGGATGAACCCATCCCCCTAAAATAAAAAATATATTCATATTTTACAGTTTCCGACGGTGATATTTTCCAGACAGTCTTTTGCAAATAAGTAAAATGGAAAACAGCCAACCATTTTTAAAAAAGGGTTTTTTCAGGTTTTCAGTATTTCACTATTTTGTTTTATGAAAAATTTATCAACAAAATTGTTCAAAATGACAAAAAAAAATATCGTCAAAGTTTGAGCCCATAATATTAATGGTAAGAGGTCATCATCTGTATTTTCGAATGTTTTGTCCTTACTACTAATGTGTTGGTAAAACTAATGTGTAAAATATTGTACTTATAACGGGGTTGACAATGCTTTTACTGATCTTGACCTATTTGCTCTGAGCTTGAAGCCTTTACACAACACAACACTAAAGATGGTATATCAACTAACACACTGTAATAAACAGCTCTAATTAGTTCTTAATTTGATTTAGCTTATAAAAAATAATTTAAGCTGACTAAGTATCTTTTTCTGTTACATTTTGTGCTTTCCTTATAGTGGACAGCCGGATCTGTCTGTAGGAAAGATTTATTTATAAATAAATAAGTAAATAATTTTGAAGAATCTGGAATACAAATTTGATGCAATTAAATTGAATGAATAACTAATTAAAAAATAATATTATTAAAAACCTCGTAATGGCCATCATGAAAATTTTAAATCAGATCTTTTTTTTATAGACAATTCAATTTGCTACAAAAATATATGCAGATAAGTATTTTTACCTCAATTGTGTGGTTGTTTTGAGGCAATAATGAGATTAGAACTAAAAAAATCTAGAAGTCTAGAACATTCACAATATTTGTCCTCAGTTGAGAAGGTAGTTTACCTGTAATATCACTTGCATCTTCGTCCCCATCCACATCCTATTCAAAAAACAGAGAAATTCAATACCATATAAGTAAACACATTTCTTGAACCACTTTTTTTAATAGTTGCTAACCTGAAAACTAAGCTCCTGATACAAGGTGTTCCCGCTCCGTTGTTCCTTTTTGGTTTTTGTGGTGCTGTTGTTAATTGGTTGACTATTTGGGGGACTAACAGGTGAGGTAATCACACTCTTATTTTCACAATTCACTGAATCAGTCTCTTGAGCCTTCTCCACTTTTAACACCACTTGCTGCTTTGGTTTCGCCTTCTCCATATCATTAAGAAAACTAGGAGACGAATGTGTACTGCTTATAGGTGACGATGGAACACTGTCGACCACTTCGGCATTTTCCAAACTCGAAAATCCAAAGGAAATGGGCTCCGAACTGCGGCCGATATTCAGTCGGTTCGAGTTTAGCCTAGCAGCCTCAGTTCTCTCGTTGACTAGTTGCTGTCCGGAGTGTAGGAGTTTCGTGCGCTCCATATAGTCCACGTGGGTTTTAAATAACTCAGTATACCTCTCATGCAGTTTGGAATATTCTTTTTTCAGTTCAGCCTCTCGTTCTTCTAACCGACACGCATGATCCATTGAATTTTTATGTTTAAGTTCAAGCATTCTGACAATTGATTCGAGAGCTTCCAGACGAGAAGAAAGTTCTTTTCTTTCACCTAGTATTCAATAAAAGTCTGTTACTGTCACCATAAAAATTGCAATAAAATGATCATCAGCGGCCTAGGATCAAAATTATTTATTTTGTATTATGACTTACCCTCCGCGGCATCTTCATATTCCAACAATTTCTGTTCCGATGTTTTCCTGGCTCCTTTTTCTCGCTCATATTGAGTGACCAACTGCTCATTGTCTTCTCGAAGGAGTTCCAGTTCCACATCTTGCTCCTATGCAAATAAAAACGACCTTATTGCACGAAACGATCATTGAGCTGCACTAGATTTCACCTGGTTCTGTTGGTACGCTGCATCTAAGCATTCCAAAACATTAACCAAAAGTGGCATGAGTGTCTTTACTACATCTTCATCATATCTAGCAATCATTTTCTCAAACTCCTGGTAAATACTACCAGCTAACGATTGAACCTTTTCAGACATAACGACATGCGAGTCTTCGTGAGTTCCATAGACAATTTCGGGGCCAAGGCCTCCGCCTGTATCCGATATATCCATTTTTTCGGCAATCCAGTGGAGCAATTTGACTTCTTATCTAAAAATCGTTATTGTGAACCACCACAGACTTTGGAACAAGTGCTTACAGCATTTTTTTAAAGACGCAAAATACTCCGACGGATTCGTCACAGTACGTTAATTTCTTTGTATTCCACCACCTACTTATTTTGACAACTAGAAAATGTTTCCCCTGTCAGCTTGTCGCCTGTCACTTGCCTTATTCCTCGAGACGAGACCCAAAGAATAAGAAGCGAATTAGTCAGTTTCACAATGGACAAGAGGCAGGGGGGATATGAGCCATTATCGGTTGTTGTAGAGGATCGGAAAATAGAAAACCGCACATTATTTAAATCCCGATAGAAAAAATGGGCATGAATATCGATTAATGACTTATCTTTTCAGCTTTAGGTTCGACAGTAACGTCGATAAAAATATAAAGTCAGGTTGCAAGTACATCTATAATTTAGTTTTTGTCGATATATTCACATTCAGTCTCCACTCAAAAAGGTTGATAACGTGTTTCGCTGGTTTCAATTCAGTTACTTATTTTACTTAATGACTTACAGATTTTGTAAGTCCAGGCAAATCCATATAATCGTGATCTTTATTAATTAACAACCTAGGTATGAAAATTGACCATTTCCTTCATATAAATGTAATCTTGTTATTATGCAATAGAATTAAACCATTTATCGAAGCGGCTTGCAATCCGAGCTTGCGATCAAAGTACATTAGCAAAATCAAAATGTTGTTGAATATATTTGAGAAAGCGTCAACTCTAACGCCACGCCGTTGGGCTTTAAGCAAACTTTACCACCGAAAGGCAAGTTATAAGTTGTATTCCTGCCTGCCTCGCCTTTGAATCGGGTCCGCCCTTTACAGTGTATCTATCTAACTGTGTGTGCATAAAGTATCGATTTCGGTCAAAGTTTCCCTAATAGACCTCCGAATATTGCTTGCTTGCGAAGGATGGAGGGTATCAGTTCGACTGGGAATTATTAGATCGAGGCGATGAAGTGAAAACTCTGGATAAATTTCGGCAGATACTACCTACGAAGTTTATCGCGACAGTATGCTAAATACTGGTATATTGCTTTTACTTTAAGTTTAAAGTGACGACAAAATTTATCATAGTAGCACAAGTTGGTTTTAAATCGACAACACGTTATACACGTTTTTAAACGGGATGTAAAAATAGCATATTTTCCGAAATATATTCGGTTTAAAATTTTTGGTTATTTACATAATTAAACTACTCGTTCAAACATTGTATCATAATTAGCAGGGAAACCAATCAATCTAAACGTACCTACGATTTGTTCGAAATCATTCGCAAAAGGCAACGGCCATAGAGAAAACATTTCTCGTCTGTAATCAATACAGAGCTAAATAATATCCGTTACCGTACATGTAGCGGCACTAAATTAGCTAGGCTTGTGCGTGAAAGTTAGAAAACTAGCGAATGCGAGTAATAAATTAGCGCGATAAGAATCGAGACTCTTTGCGACGCCGCCATAGCTAATAGAAACACAAATACGGAATCCGAATTATTAACAATACCAATTAGGCTATGAAAATTAATACGTGCAAATTTTGGCAATATATTCAGTGCTATCGGGTTCTGACCTGTGCTTTACGCGTGGGACGGCGGTTAGTTAATAATTCGGAGAATCTAAACGACCTAGTTTAGGACAATGTAGGTTTTTACTTTTGACACCTACGTTTTGGTTTGTTGCCGGACATCTAAACGGCTGGAATCGGGTAAGTACAATTGCAAAATATATTTGGTCAACGATTACCGTCTATGAATGAATTATATACTTTTCACCATATTTATGAAGCTTATGAAGTTTTTTTTTGTTGCAAAATAGTTTGGAGCTCATTATTTCCTGAAGCAAACCTGGCACGTTGCTCGGGTGATTTACATCGTCGATATGGTTGGGCATTAGTTATGTTGGGGAAGGCGTCCACCACGTGACGTGTGGAATCGTGATCTGCATTACAGTTAAACGCCAGTAATCGGAACGAATCAATCAGTTTCCTGTCTTGCCGGCGAGGAGAAACGTTCTAGATCCCAGATTATGTTCGGGAATTTAAATCGAATGGGATATTGGGAATGTTTTTGATGTTTTGGATCGCACGCACAAAACAGGAAAAAATAATTGCGAATTATTCGCTTATTCAGATTTTTGAAAATTCGATTTAATTTTGTTAAAAACGGCTTCAATAGTAACTTTTGTGACCAACATAATGCAATAGCAAAGAGTTAAATTTGAGACTATATAGTTATTTTTTCTATCTATATTAGAATTTAAGGTACAACCGTATTACAAAATGAAGAATTTATCGGTATGGTATGGCTGTTTAAAATATTAGCTTGTCTACAGTAAGCAATTTATTAAGTTTTTGAGACTGAAATGGAAGTAAATTTAGTAAAATTTTATGCACTGCCTAGAAACTAAATCCAACACTTTACACTTGCGAAGGAATGAGTATTCAAATACTTGGGCGCCAATCGGACTTTTATGGTTTATATAACGAAAAGAAAAAACTAAAAAAAGAAAAAGCTCCCCCTTGAAACGTATGCGGATGGCAAAGACATACAAAATTCACAAATTAAAGATATGTGAGCCCGACTGAAAGCTCGGAGCTGCGGAATAGAGGTAGAGTGCACATTGGCAATTCAGCCTTGATGGTAGCTTCAGGCATAGAGTTAAAAATGTAGACGAGTCGTGCATTGAACCGTCTGTACAGGGGATTGCTGGTGGTATGCATTCGACAAACTACTCCACCTTGTTTATCCCATTTAAATTAAAAGCTTTTGTGATTTTTTTGTAATAGAGTTGGTTCAGATTTCTTGAAATACAATAAAAAATATTTTGTTAAATATCTGTGCCTATTAATTCGATAATGTCAATTATTACTATTACAGTTTGAAGTTTATTGTAACATTTTAGAAGCATTGGATGTTCAAAAAACAACAGAATTTTTAAATTTTTCGCATACCTAATTAATTAAATTAAAATTAAATAACGGGACTGGCGGTGCCACAGATGAAGCATTCATGTGCCTTTCTATCAAGAGCTGTTTACATTAAAACCTTGTCTTTTAAATGCTGTTTCTGTAAATAAATCCGCACAGCCATAGAATTCCGATGCATTACAATTGCATTTTGTTTTTCCGGAAAATTACATGTGTAACAATAGAACAATGAATTGTTGAATCATATGAAACTTTGTAAAATTTTTAAACGTTTTTGCGAGAGTCGAGAAGATGTTGAAGATGAGTTGCGTCCAGCTCCCCCTTGGACTTCAAAAACGGATCACAATATAAAAAAAATAGGTAATCTTCGTGGTACTCTGGTTCGATCTGACTGTCGCTTGCTTGCTAAATTTGTGAGAATTGGCCAAGAAAGTGCACATAAAATTGTGTATGACAATTCCAACATGAAAAAAGCGTGTGCCAAAATTGACATGCTCTTTGTTAAAACACTATTAATTATTAACATCCGTTTCTACAGCCTTGCCCAACAGAGACCATTTGGATATAGGGTCCTCAGTTACGTTAAACTCATCTTCTTCGCTTATTAAATTAGGTTATTTCTTCAGCAATAACCTTTAAAGTTTTGTAGATGCGGATTGTATCGTCAATCCGAAGCGCCATCGTGTCCAGAATCGTCAATTTTCTACTACTATTAATTTTAATTTTTCTAATAATAGAATTATTTATATGAAATTAAATTGTCTCTTGAAACGCCTGAAAGCCTCATCACCGGAGACGAGTGCATTATATCGCGCCATATTTATAAAAATGTCGCCTCATTAAAGTGCGCTTTTTTGGTCCCCTTGGCAGCGGCGTCAGGCAGTCTTTAAAGAGAAGGATCTAACGATGCGATGTATATTTGATTAATGTTCATCCGTGACGCCTGGTAGCAGCTATGAAAAATTTTATCGCATCTTAAATTAAAATTAAGGTATTATACTCTTAACTAGTGCTTTAAGCGGGACACACTCTCGCCCTTGAAGGTCTTTTTCATTAGGTTATGCCGGAAACGCTGAGTACCTGTTGGTATAAATATTTCACATGTGTAGCTTAGTATTGAAATTTGTTTGAATAATTTCACATATTTTTTTTAAGATTAGTTATTTTATAACTAGTTATGTAGTTATAGGTGATATCATAAGAATAATTTAATAACAATAAAACAAAACTACGTCGATTATTATGAAAATTAGATTGTATGATAAAAGTTCAACGTATATAATTTATAGGATTTGAAATAAATACTGTTCCCGAACTAAAACAAATTGTTGGTATCCAAAAAGCTAAGGTGGCGTATTCCTTGTACTTCAGAATAACCCAAAATCTCTGCTTGATGCTTCACAGAGTTAAAATGACAGCAACTAATTGATTATAGTTTCTTTTAAATTAAGTAATAAACTGTTGGTCGCTTTTCAATTCTTGAAACCTTTGAGTTAGGACCTAAATGCCCTACCGAACCAGCATACGGTTACTATTTACAAATCTTCTGGATTTCTCCTGCGCCGGTTGTATATAAATCACACTTGCTGACGTTTTTCCAATCATCCTGTAGCCTTCTTCAGAGCTTAACTGAAACTTAGCAGTTTTGCAAATATTATTACGGTAGCCTGTTGAAGTTGCTTTGAAAAAAAAATTGGACATACGATTTTACATTTTTGGGAGGGGTAATTATTATATAAAATATGAGTAGCAAATAGTCATCTTCTTCTTCAAGTGTGCCCCATTGCACGTTGACGATTGCCATGTTCACGACATATCTATATTTTTCTCGATCTTGTGCTACATGCAGTAACTCATCAGCGTTAAAGTCTGTCTATTGTCTCAGGTTTCTTAGTCTGGTTTTTTCTGGTTCTTGTGGTCCAGGATATTTTAAGCATTCTCCTGTATGTCCATATTTAAAATGCTTCGATCTTATTGAGCATTTCTTTATTAAGCGTCCATGTTTCGCATCCACCCAAACTTTTCTCTTGTTTTGATGTTTAATGTATTATTTGAAAGAAACGACCTGAACTTCTGAAATGCATTTCTTGCTTGTTCTATGCTTCATCTTATTTCATATGAAGGATTTATATCTTGATCAATCCAGCAGCGGAGATATTTAAACTTTATCATTCTCCCCAGCGGTTCTCCGTTTAAAAGTAATAGGGTCTGGTCAGTATCCACTTTACCCACAATTCACAACTC